TATATTTATATTATATGTATAGTAAATAATATAAGTCCCCTTCAGAAAGATTTAAAATAAAAAAAAATTAAATTTGTAAACAATGGTTTCTGTTGCAGTATTTCGTGGCTTGAACGCAGATGATGTTCGATACCTAGGATTTTTCTTTTTTTGAAGTATCCAGGTTGTTCGTTTACATTTTACATTCTAAGATCTGCAAAATCACCATGGGACAGAATGCAAAAACGTACCAAACAGGCTGAAAAACAGTCCTAATATACAGTTTTTTCCCCTTGGTTTTAAAAACTGGTGTGTAACTGCTCATGAAGTACATGCTTGCTGTCAAGAGTGGTCTGTAGAGATCAATCCTGTGCTGATTGCAAGATGATTTCACAGTAAATCCTTTGATGTGTGCTGTCCTGCTTGCTAAAATGTGTGGCATGCACTGAGGTTGCATTTTTTTTTTCTCAATCTCTTGAACATAGTGCTCATGTGGAGCTGGAATAAGTAAACAACATATAGGACGGTCACCTGGAGGTTTAAACAAAACTCATCATCAGATCAGAAAGAAGGGAATGGCATAAATTTGCTCTCTAGACATCATTAAACTTCCACCTATTATTATTAGCCTATTATTTGTATTGTATTTTCCTCATTAATACAATAAATGAAAGGGGGTCACTTTTCCTGAGTATTCTGCTGTATAGCTCTGAAGGACTCAAGCAAAATCTATTCAGTGGATGAGCAGCACAGAAACCTTGGTGGGTTGACTGGTCAACATGAAACAGCAGAATTGCACTCAGGATGTGCCCGGGAGGCCAGAGCCCCTTTCAGCATCACAATCAGCACGAACTTGGTAAGTGAGCAGCCAGCTGGTGTTCTCATTTAGGGCAGAAAGGGACACTACTTGTAGCGATGTGTCATCGTGAAAATTCATCATAATGTAGCTATGTTGAAAACTAGTCTCAAAAGCCATTATTATCTATTATATTTCTGCTGCATTTTATTTATTTTGTCACATTACATTGCAATGTTTCTATAGAGTGGAAATCAATTTATGCTCCACAAGGTTTCAGTTGTCAGAAGTTACTGAGATCTACACTGACAAGGCTGTATCTTACTGCAGGAGTTTGCAAAGGTTCACACTCAGGTGAGTGACATGGATTTTATGTTTCACTCACATCTCACCACTTAGGAAACAGTTTCTAAGCTCTTGTCATCTCTTGTTTTAGAGGTTAAATGGAGGGTATGCAAACTGAGCCATTTGCTTACGTGAGTTTAGTCTGAATGTGATTTTGTACAGTGATCCTGACTGAAACTCAGACTGTCAGTGCACCCCTGTAGGTGGTGGATGGTAAATGCTAACCATCGCTAAGTGCATTATGGAGGAGGACATCACCTAATCTCAAACCCCTATTTACAGAGCCAGAAATACCCCCATTTCTCCACTGCCCACATGGGATGTGTCCACAGCTGATATAAGCTGAAGCCAAGATGAACAAGTTCACTTCCTCATTAGACAAGAAGACGACCCACAACCACTAGTTGTGCTCCACACTCAGTTTGGCACCGAGTCAATGGAGAACAGATTAATCCTTCAGTGCTTATGTTGTCTCATGGGAGCTTCAGGCTTAGTCTAGAAGCACCTGATAAATGAGAGCTGCTGTGCCATTTATCCTTTTCATGTAGGATTATGGGTCACTATCAGAGGAGATTCCTTACTGTGAGGAAGCAAAGTGTAGGCAAGCAGTGGCTACAGAGATGAGGGTGTGTACATTTTCTTCCACTCCTCTCCTTTCTCAAGCCATATTACCTTTCATTAAAACCTTCCCACCCACCTGGAAATAGCACAGTTCTCTGTTGCAGTGGAAAGAACTTAATAGATGTAGTTCAGCAGTATGGGGTCTTGGTGCAAGTAGTCCTGATGTGGAGCCTGAAGCATCCACCCATGGGGTCTAGTGTTGTGTGATCTGTCCAGACGGGCAAATTCTAGCCCTTCTATCAGTTGATTTCCAGCAGAACTTGTAGAAACAACTTGCTGAATTTTCCTGCCTCTTCAATTAATATCGTCAAACTAACGAAGTCACAATTCCTTAAGATTTCTGAGAAAACAATTTTCATGTAGCTCCACTTAAGCAAATTGATCAGGTCCAGTATTTTGAGTTTAGCTGTTTCCCCACCAGGACATAGGCTTACTTTCCCTTGGCTTCTTACAATCTTGGCTTTTGAACTTCCTTGTTTTTGTTGTGGCTGATTATGCCACTGTATGTTCTGCAAGAATTGCAATGTTACCACTTTGAAGCAAAGAGGTGGCAGAGCTTTCACAACACTCAGCATTTTGATTCATGTTGCTACATCCAACTCTCTTGCAGTCTTCAGACCAACAACTTCACTATTTTGGGTTAATGATCTGGGAAATTTTTAGTTTCTAAATGCTAAAGAATTTGCAAAAGGATATAGACAGTGGCCCATTTCACCCAAATCTAATTCTGCGACCTGTGTAGAATTGCTGTGCATGAAGGATTTCAAGCTATTTCCTACTGCAATCTCTTTTTTTTTCGCCACCACCCTTTCATAATGGAAGGATGAATAAAGAAAATAAGTATAGAGATTCTAGATGACCGTGTTCTTTTGCTCTACTGACCTGCTTATCTGTTGGTTTTTTTGTTTTACATATGCAGATAGCTTTTTAAGACACAGTCCGTGTCCTGTTACATGTATCCTACACTATAATTGCTGATGAGGCCTCAATGTGATCTTGCAATAGAATTACATGGGCAGTTCTGGGCATGATGCCCTTGCCCGAATTGTTCCTTCAGAGAACAGACTGTCCAATAGCTGAAAAGGCACTGTTCAAATCTTTAAAAACTTATTATCAGCTTAGCACATCACTTCCAGATAAATGACCTTACAGTTAGATACCTCTGGCCACCTTTAAATGCTTGTTTGCCAGCACTTCTGCACACCTACATTTTTCAGAATTGTTAGACCAGTTGGTCAAGCACCTCCTCCTAAAAAATACTTCAATTTTTTTTTTGAGTAATGGAAATGGTCCATATATGTGACCTTAACTTGTGCTAAATGCAAGCTACTACAGCTTAGTCCGCTGTGGAAGAGGGCAGTGTTGCCATGCATGTTCTACAGGTGGTGGTCACCTACGTGGACAAGTACTGCCATATTGCCAACACACGGTCACTGGTTATGAAGCAGCAACTTGGTCGTAGGAACGAGCTGAGTCCAAACTCCGTAAAGCACTGTAAGATATATAGCTGCTTTGAAGTTCAAGGCCTTGAATTTAAGTCAGGGCCTGGGATCTTCCTGGGAAGAGTGCAGAGACTTAAGCATTGCTCTGATCTGCTCATGCTGACGTTAGCTCTGGAGAAGACTAAAGCCTTGCAAGACCTCTAATTTCAAAAGGCTTATGACAATATGCACCCTATTAAACATGGATGCACATGTGCTAAATGCACACAGCATTGACAGACTATTTCTCTCAGTGCACTTTCCACTGTAGAAACTCAGGAATTTTTCATAAACAGCATTCGTATCTTCTTTTAAGCAGTTTCTTCCTCACCCCATCATGGCCACTCATTGTGATAAGATTTTCCATTCTTCTTCCTTTCTTTCCGCTCTTTCTGCAGACGTTCTAGCTCAGCTTCATACATCATCTCCTGAATCAAGTACTTTTCTCTCCTCATCCGATCTCTCAAATCTTTTGGGAGATCTGGGATTAAGTAGGAAATCAAGTGCTTTATACAAAACACAAGGTGCTGTGAAAACAAAAAAGTAATGAAAAATTAAATCTTAGGAAGAAAACAAGTACTTTACGTATCTTCTGAAAACTGTCTCGTTCCAATTCACAAAAAAAATGCTGTGTTAGAACTAGATCTATTACTAAATTTGAAGAAACCAAACCATGAAGTTTTTTTCCCCACAAAAACCTTGGCCAAAGTCAGTGGAGTATGGATTGCAGCAAAGGTTATGAGCAGCTGGGTCCAAGTAAGATCTCAAAACTATTGTAGGACTCATGTCCTAACTCTCGAAGTCATGATTTGCTGTAAGGTTGTTTGGTCAGGGTCTGGTGTTAATGGATGGCTCTGGAGGAAGAGTAGGATCAAATGGTAGAATACTTCCCTGTTGCCAGAAAACCCTTACATCGGTATTGGAACTAATGAATTAACTATGCAAAACAGAACATTTTTTCTTAGACTGTGTCTCTCATCCAAAGACATATTCCTGTTTACTAAACTTCACAATTAAATACTAGGTGGCTGATCCCTTGTCCCTTACTTTTTAGGCGTGACACAACAAAGCTTGAGAGTAATGGGGGAGGATAGCTTGAGTGTACTTTTTTATTTGTTCAGAGATGCTATTTGAAGATTTACTCCACTTGAGAGGAGGAACAGAGCAGTAGAAAAATACTCCATCTCAGAAAGGACACATTCTAGATTGGAGAAATAAAGGTATTTTTTTTTTTCTCCAAGCAGAACCATTCCTTTGAAAGCCATTGAGAAGAGACTGTAACATGTTTTCCTATGTATTCTTCCCTCATGAGAAATAAAATATTCTTTAATTGCTGTTTGATTTTTTTTTCTTTTTTTGTCAAACCTAAAAAAAAAAACGCAAAAACTTCTTCTGCCAGTTTAGCTTGGACAAATAATTACTTCTGCAGCGACAGGAAATACTTTTGTTGGGTTTTGAGCCAGCCTATGGCTTTAGTTGGGGCAAAGCAAACTCAAATCTCTTGCACAAGTATTGAGCAGACACAAAAAGATACTCCACAGCAGGTAGCAAATGTGGCTGGCCACTGAGACTTGAGCATGGCTGTTTTTTCTTGCCTCAGTTATCATTGCGTTTACGCAGAGCTGCCTTTAGGCTAAGTGTGTATCAAGAAGCCAGGCTCTCTTCAATCTTAAAACTGTTTAAGATGACCTGGCAGGGCTGTTTGGAGACAAATACCCTGGCTCTCAGTACTGGCAGCACAAGAAACAATGAAGAGATCAAAGCCACCAGACCTCAGTCAAATCCATACTTCCCTTCCCTTCCCTTGTCTCTGTCTCTGTCTGTCTCTGTCTCTGTCTGTCTGTCTCATCGTCTGTCTTTTTTTTTTTTCTGTCTTTCATTCTGTACTTCTGTTTCTGTCTTTTTATGTTTCTGTCTGTCTTGCTATCTGTCTGTCTTTCTGTCTTTTTTTCTGTCTTTCTGTATTCCTGTCTTACTTTCTGTTTTTCTGTCTTCCTGTCTTTCTATTGTTCTATGTCTCTGTTTTCCTGTCTTGTCTGTCTTTCTGTTCCTCTTTCCGTCGTTCATTCTGCCTTCCTGTTTTTCTGTCTCTCTTTCTGTCTTTTTTTCTGTCTTTCTAGATATCTTTATTTCTGTCTCTCTGTCTTGCTGTCTCTCTGTCTTGCTGTCTATATGTCTTGCTGTCTATATGTCTTGCTGTTTGTATGTCTGTCTTTCTTTCTGTCTCTTTGTCTTTCTTTCTTTCTTTCTTTCTTTCTTTCTTTCTTTCTTTCTTTCTTTCTCTCTCTCTCTCTCTCTCTCTCTCTCTTTCTCTCTTTCTCTCTTTCTCTCTCTTTCTCTCTTTCTCTCTTTCTTTCTCTCTCTCTTAATGTTTCCTTGGTTGTGGTAGAGGTGATGGAATAGCAATCTTCTTAGGACCAAGCTCTAATCAGTTAGGCCAGTGAAGAAGAAGGAGGAAGACCAACCTGCAGTTCCTTTTTTCTGGGAAATGCTGAAAATTACATTTAGGGGGAATTCACTGTAGACCTTAGGCTTCTACTGAGCAAGCAACACATCCTTATGTACGAAATAATCTAGAAAATGTTTCCCTTTCACCTCTCCTCAAATTCAAATGCTTCTGTTCTGTGATCCAAAGAGGTGCTTCAAAAGCTCAGTTTATAATGAATTTACACAGTAATGTGTGTCAGAAATGGAGTATGCGCTCATGAACATTATGCCAATAATTAATGGTGGTTACAGCTGCCATATCTGTGTTGGATGCTCTGTTGCTATGATTTCAGAGCAGAGGATTGAGTAAAGGGTTTTTAAAAATCATTTGTTCCCTGTTTGGCTTCTTTACAGTGTAAAAGGTGTTTCAAACCGCTTGTGCTGGAGATGCTGAGCCTTTGGTTTCTGGTAGGGACATTCAGGCACCTGAGATCCAGGCTTTAAGAGATGCTTTTTCAAAATCAGCATGGAAATACCAAGCATGGGAAGCTGGTATTATCTTTCTGGTTGGTCTTATGACAAAGATTTATGAGATAAGAAATCTGAAGTAGGAAGTACTTATTTCTGAACAGTAAGTACTAAATTATGAATGTTGCCAAATGTATGGAGTCCATTTATCGTTATCATCTTTGTGAATGATAATCATTCTGTAGAAATAAAGAGTATTAAAAAATAGAGAACAAAGCTACATGTGTAAATACTATAACTTAAATGATCTTAATTTTTCAGTTGTTCAGATTTCATCTTTTCTTCTCATGTTCCTTCACCCCTTCCTCACACACTAGTCAGCATATGGCTTCACAGCGTAGACAGGTTATGAATTCCAGACTTCAGAAAGTAAATAAAAGCTTCATTTATTTTCCCACTGTGCAAACCACTGTAACAGTTTTTAAAGTGCTGCATTCTCCTTTTTCTTAGAACCTAAATACCTGTGACTGTTCAGAAAACAAATCTGAGAATACAAAGCACAATATAAATAGCAGAAACAAAACACAGCTGCCATCACAGATCGTCCCAATGAAAAAGCTTCAGAGGGAAATTTGTTTAATTGTGTGGTTTTTGGTTTGCCTCTTGAATGGTCACTGACCTCAAATACAATAATGAAAGCCAACCGTGCTGCTAAGACATGCCAGAACTGCAGCGTGTAACCATAGGGCACTGGGGAGTGAGGAGGGTCTCTGTAGTCCCTGTACCTGAAGGACAAGCAGAGTACAGTAGTTAGCAATGTCCTGCCCTGATGCCTGGAAGGAAGGCAAAACCCAAACCCAGCTGCCCTTGATCATTGCATTTTCTGCACCAAAATGATCTCAGGTCAGACTGTAAAAGTTACCACAACACTGCTTGCTTCATCGGCTGGGCCTACGCTAGTCTGTCACTTCAGATCAGGTGCATGCTTTTGAAGCAAGTGTCCTGTTCACCTCCTTTTGCCTCACTTTGGCTCATCCAGAAGGGTTTACTTTCAGATGAAACCAAACAATAAGACGTACTCCAGGAGTGCACTTCACACTCCATCTGCTAACGGAAATTCAGTGCAAAGGACCAGGCCAGTGCCTGTGTGAAGCAAACTGCTGAAGCAAATACAGATGGTGTTGGATGCTCAGCACCATCAGTTTGACCTTACAGCACCTCCCTCAGCAGTCCAATGTGCTTGCAGGCACTTCCTCAGAACATGGAGCAGGGTGGGATGCTCTGCTATTTTGAGGGTCACTTTCTTCTACCTGTAAATTTATTTTATAACCATAAGTATTGCCAATTTTGCCAACCTGACATCCTTCCTAAAATCCGTACAAAACTGCCTCATGGGCTCCATTTGGCCCTTGGTCAACTAGCTGGGCATCCTTCGTGTAAAGTCTCATGATTAATCTTGATTTTACTGGAGACAGAACTGCCCTTCTTGGTATACCAACAGGGCAAGGGCTGTGTAAGAAAGGGATCTAGTTTCTTGTTTCACAATGTTTCTTTTAAGACTTTAGGTCTCAATATCACAACTAGAGATATCTATTAAGAAAGCTGGATCTAGGAAGACTCCAGACTTATATTAACCAGTCATGAATCTGTTTAAGTCACAGGTGTTGGAGCTCATTTCTACTAGTAGCACATTAAATCCAAAATATTATTGCATAAACTTAATTTATAAGTAGTGAAAAAATTGTTTTCTCCTTAATCAGTTTCCTAGATGGGACAGAAAACCCATTACAAAAAATACAGAAAATACCATAGTAAATAATACCCTAAGGCTTGATCTCAAAATTAGTTCAAGAAAAGTAAAAAAAAACTCAGATGAGCAAAAGAAATAAAGAGTTATTTCACCTCTCTGACAACCTGTATTTCTCACCGAAGGTTCGTGTTCTTAGATAGTAAAGAATGCTACACAAAATGAAATAAACTGTGTCGACATCTTAGTCACAAAACTGTCTCAAATTGCAGTATGTCTAATGCAAGCTCTTAAAACCGAGATGGCCTTCCATTCTGCAACCAGCATGCGGAGTTCATAGTTTAGGATGTTTTACAATACCCTAAGCACCCTGAAAACAGAAGTCCCTGGACCGAGTCCCAGGTCAGTAGAGTATGTCTCCTTTTTGTACTTGCTAAGAACATGAAGCAATGGGGAAATCTTTTCTAAACAACCAGAGTAGCGTGGCACCATCTTGGTTCCACATGAGCAGAAGTTAACTGAACATGGCCACTGCTTTTGGTTCAGACAGACTGTCTTCCTGGAAAAATGTTTACACTAGTATACAACAGAACGTAGTATTTCCTTACCTCACTGCCAATATCTGGCTTGAAGTGCAATTGAAATGGCCGACGTTTTAGTAGAATTTAAGTGGGTAAAGTAGCTGATAAACTCATCCACAGAAAGTGAGACATTAATTTTCTTTCAAGAATAGACATACATAACAATCAGTGTCCCCAAAAAGAACAGATTTATCTTCTGGAGATTTATGGCACCAATTTTAATAGTGCTCTGTTCATGGGGTATTGAAGAGACAACTTTTTTTACTGATGGGATTTCCACAATCAGTTCTAAGCAGCAGCAACCTTATGCTTGACATTGGGGAAGAAAGGAATTAAAAAGGGGAACAGAACTATCAGAATTACAAAACATTAAATAGTGCTATGACAAACAATGTGGACTGGAGTATTCTCAAAGAGGTTCTGCTCCACAGAAAATGTTATCTGTGGATTCAACATTGGGATATTCTTTCTGTCAAATAAATTGCAACAGTCCTTAATATCAGTTAAATTAAAACCACCTCACCGGTTCGTTATCCTATACCACTCAAACCTCTTATTATTAATAAAAATGACACAATATCATAAAGTATCACTGACATCTGCTGTATCATAGAAAAACTTTTTTTACTTTAGACACTCATGAAAGGATATTTTAATTGTTCACAGTGAAAAATTCTGGGACTAAGTGTATTACAGCTACCAGGACTCATGCTTGTAAACCAATGCTGCAATAAAAAATGGTAGCTGTATTTGTTGTTTGGTACTTTTGGTTTGGACTTCATTTAAGACCTTTATGTGTAGTTCTTTGATTCTTTGGACCATTAAAATCAGTCAGGTGCAACAGACTAGTCACAGAAGGCTACTTCTCCAATCTGTTGGCTGAGGACAAAGACATATAGATAATTAACTGCTCATTTTATTTTGATTGAAACCACAAGATTATGATTATTACTAATAATTACACCTGTAAACAATGACATAAATACATTAACCATTCAACAGTTAGGAAGTGCTGGATTTGAGGTTTTATAAAGGCAGTTTAGGACAGGCCATGTTTATGCCAGACAGACTTGTGAAATAACTCAGTGTGTTCACTTCTGTGCAACCTTGGTGTCTTCGTGCATGTGCTATGATATAATCCAATTATTGTTTCTAAGTAATCAGGTGCCTACTACTGGCCCTTTGATACCATATTTCTCCATGATAGTTGTGTCTGATTCAAGCCATGACACCATAGAAATCCTGCATTTGGAGGAACAGCTATCAGATATTCACTTTTCAGTTTCTCCTCTAAGGAAGGAATCGTGCAGGCAAAAGCCAAGCGGTACCATGAGCGTGTGTCTGAATGGTGCAGTTAATTTTTTCCATTGCTGTTTTTTAAGATCTGAAAATTAGTTCCAATGACAAATTTATCATGATGTTTCTACTTTGCAGTGTCTTTAAGCAGAGAGGTATTTTGATCAGATACTTACCTGCAATATTTTAATGGTGAACCAGAGAATTCACTTCCATTTGATGTTGGCTCTGAACGGTTTTCAAAGTCTGACACCAGAAATACTGATAAACTGGCATTAACATAGCCAACCATACACCTAGAGGGGAAAAAATCCTGTAGTCAGGTCACAGCAAGGTTTTTCCATTAATTGTTCTACCTAGGAGGATGTTCTCCAGCTTTGATGAAATCCACAGTATAAATGTGATGCTTATTAACATTTGAAAGGGATGTTGAGGCAATATAAAAGAAATACTCAAGTAGGTCAGATGGACAATAAAAATGAAGCAACGGTAGACTTCTATGGAAGAAGGCATGGTGAAGACTTGGAAAAGAAAAAAATTACTTTTGAAAAAAAAAAGTCATCTAAAAGGTGACACAATAGAGGTAGAGAAAATATTGAGTAGCACTAGGAAGGTAATCAGAATATTCCAGCTGTTACCTTAATGGTACAAAGTAACATTAAATCAGATGGAAAGGCAACACACTTCAAACAGCTCTTTTGTGAAACATCCAGTTAATCAGAAGAATTCAGTACTGAAAGATTCCAGTGTGGCTAAGCACTGGGAAGGGCAGGCAGAATTTGGAGAATACTAAGGACAAGAATGTAGATCATTTGAGGAAGGGCTGTGGGAGTCAGTAGAAGGCTCAAGTTTGGTGTTAACAAAGCTGAGAAGAGAGATGACAAGTGTTTTGTGCTGTTCACTCTGCACTGTCCCAAGTGTAGGTAGGTCTAATCACACTTCTCAGCTTGGTGCAGAGGATAATGCATAATGAACAGCAAGGGTTGGTTTGGTGTGGGCTTTTTTCTGTGTGTGGGGTTTCCCCCCCACCCCCAAGTGATGCGTTTTGCAGCCTATGAGAAATTACATTTAAACACCTTATAGATTTGTCTCAAAATCCCCACGCTGATTGGATTTGGAGCCAATTTTGGAACCATTTTTGGAACTATTTTTCTAGTGACACTGAGTGTTATATGGATCTAATACCTACAGATGTTTATTGAAAGAAAAAAGCACCTCCCATTTAAGTTATTCAAATGCAGATGTTCTTAGCTCCTTAATTTGAGAAAATTCAATATTCCTGCAGATTTTTTACTATCCCCCTGCTTTTATAACAGTACTTATCAATAATAAAATCCAGAACGCTGACATAAATAATTTTTAGCCAAGTTAGTTCCTTCCTTCAGAGGATTTCTGTATGATGGTTTAATCTAGAAATTCACTCAGGAAAGCAGCAGAACTGTGAAAACAATGTACAAGAAGTTTGTGGAAAGATGATGAGTTTCCTCTGTCAACCAAGCTACTTCTCCTGTGTAGAACTAGTTTCAAAGCCAGTGAGTCAAATTTAAGTCTTCTTAAAAATAAAATTTCTAAAGGTGTTGTTTTTTTCATGCATGGTGGTCCTGAGAAAATCAGTAGCAAGGAAAGTTGCTGACAGTACCTCAATGTCCTATGGAACTTCATAATGACACAAGCAGAGGCACATGCTCAGGAACAACTGGCACCAGACCAAACACTTTACCTGTGAAGGTACTTTATCTCTTCATGAAAATAAATGGAACATTTGCCCTGGCTCAAACTAAAATGCCCAACTCCTTGCAGGACGGCAAGTTAGCATCACTGCTCATCAGGAGCTGACACACCAGCTGCCCTTCTTCCCTCAGTATGATTAAACAGTATTGACAACCCAAAGACAACAAAAAAAGCAGCAACAGAAGAACTTGCTTTTTGTAGCAGAGAATAAAAATCAACCTGCCATATGTCTAATAGCAGAATGTAAGCTCTCTGTCAGTTTATTGTTTAGCTTGGGTTTCTTTGAACAGTAGGGTTCTTGCTAATGGAGCTGCTAGGAGATACTTTGCAAACTGTGTCTATTTGTATTCAGCTGAATTCAATGACCTTCCCTGAGCCCAACAGCCTGGAATTTACATTTCCATTTAGCAGCTATACTCATATTTGCTGGTAGTGTGCACAGACTAATATAATCTTTAGCAACACTGAAAGAAAATCCACTTAGGCAGCAAGGATTCAGTTCACAAATGTCTCCTAAAAGATTTAATCTAAGGATTCTAGTTTTAGAAGAAAAACAAATTACTTTGCTCTCTGTAAGTGTATCTTGGTTTATTAGTTGGGAATTGCTTCCTCCTGTTAGACACTACTCTTCTGAGCAATACGTGCTGAACACATCCACAAAAAAAAAGCCTAATCAAAAAGTTGAAAATGCTAATTAAATCCATAACTGATAAATATGAGCATTGGTTCAGAATGAAGAGAGGGTCATATCCATGTATGCCAGCTGGGAATTGTAACTTGTGCAGCATACCATTACACACACCAAATCTCTTTAACAGCTCTGCCATGTTTTCCTTGAATTATCATCATAAATTCTAGTCACTCAGAACCTCATTCTGTGAACATGCAAAACATCAGTACCTATGGCTAATATCTGTTACACAAACAATACATTTGGGTTAGTGGAATCAGAACATACAGATAGTACTGCTTTATCTATTCAAGTGGTGAGTGATTCTCATGCACATCTGTTTTCCCAAAGGAAAGCTTACTTTTGTCCAGCTTCGCCTTGGCCAGCACAAGGTCCATATTTGTAAGCATAAACAAGGCGAGGGATGAAATCTGATGTCACAGCTATAACAAATGCATTTGTGATAACAGAAAGAATTCCAATGCCTTCCAGTATCCCATACCAGATTCCTGTTCAACAAGGACAGTATGTTAGCTCCAGGAAAACAAATCAAAATGCCTGAGATACTGCATGCTCTGAAGCAGTTGCCCTCACCACCCAAGGTCTTTTTATGTAGTTTCTAAGAGTCACTGAGTAAGAACAGTTTTTCTTCAGAACCTCAGTGGACTAGATTTCTGTTCCCAGTGTGTGAGAATTTTGTTTATCCTGCAAATAATCTCAAGGAAACCACAGAAATGCTCATGGAGGCCTTGGCTCCACCAAGCCATAAAACTGTGTGGGCAGGTTTAAGAGTAAACCTCCCTGGTTATAATGATGGCTGTCCAGCCTTTGAGGAGAGACTTCCAGAGCAGACATGAATATGTGCAATCCATGATCTGCCTGTCACAGGGGCCTTGTGTGTAACTCCTGCACCCCTGGTCAGCATGTACCTATCAGCATCAAAATCTTAATGGCATGCTAATGCTATGCATTGGCACCATTGTATCACCAGGCATCACCTGGACTTTTTGGCCTCTCTTCCACTGTCTAACAGATCTTGTGATGCAGACACACAACAACTCTGGTCATCAGGACCAACACTGAGAACTCCACCAAAAGCAGGTTAGACATATACATTGATTTTAATGAGGCATCAAGCTGTCCCTGAAACTTTGCTGAACAGAAAGCAAGTCCAAGTGCAACTAAATTGGGGAAATCACACCTGAATAAGCCTGAAAAAAAACCCACTATTTTTTTTCTGTGCCTTCATTACTTATGTTATGTAACTGTTTTTTCAGGAATTAGGTCTGCAGGGTATGCTGTGTACTGGCTGATGTCCAGGCTTGTACCTCAATTCATAGATCCACAGTGTTTTCATTCAGAGCTTTACTTAGACACAGACTTTAGGCATATGGTGGACCATTCTGGGAGCACAAAGCCTGGGCTTCTGCTACTTCATGATGTGGGCTACTAATTTTTGCAATGCAAGTGGGCAGCAAGGTACCCTATTTACCCCTCCAGAGACACCAGGGATTCAGTGTTGGGCAGAAGACTTTGTTTTACAGGATCCTTCCTAAGGGTGTTTTTGTACACTGCAAGGAAAGAAGAGACTTATATTCAAAATATTTTCAGAGAGCCCTTACATTAGTGTGTGTCTGGGTGACCTCAAAGTTATGTGAACCCCATGTTTAGCAATGAAGGTGTGCCTCGCTTGAGAGCAAGTCATCTTTTGGGATCTAGACCCACCCTGTCTGACCCACTATGGACCTAGTGGACATAGTCCCCGAGTCACAAGGGAACTTGGTTTTGGCCAGGTAAATATAAAACACATGTCCCTTACAGGATGATGGCTGCTTTAACTTGATTTTCACATTTCAGTTGCTGTGTCTGGTTATTATATTTAAACTGAGCAGCAGCACGTGTTCACATAGTGTGTCTGCCACAAGAAAAAGCCTGCAGAGAACACCAATCCCTTAATTAAAACATCTTGGCTGAAGTCAAGAAAATAATTAAAAGACATTTTCTGATATAGACTATTAATTACATAATTAGATTGGCATCAGCTACCTGAAGTTTTTTTTAATAATCGAATTGTGTGTTGTTAATAGGGAAGATAACTGAAAAGATCTTAATCTGCACTTACTTGAAGTGGTTTATGCTCTGCCTTAAAAACACCACACATACAGACATAACAAACATGCATATAAAGAGCTCACCTATATCTTTGGCTCTTGAAGCTAAAGGTCTTCTCCACTGGGTAACAAATTTGTATGCATCAAGTCGTATTTCAATAATATTGTTAAGTAAGGCCAGAAGTGGTGCCAGTGGAAAAGCTGCCACAAAAATTGTTGTGAACCCAAACTGAAGAACTAGGAAAAAAAGGAAAGATCACAGTATAACTATTAAGATCTAATCCCAGGGTCTAAGATACCAAATGATATATGGATACAAACATTACGCATAAATGTATAAACATTTCTTATTATAGTGTACCATACAATAGTCTAGTGACACTTGTACAGCGATTCCTTGCCAAAAGTTTGGAGCAAGGATGATAAATGCACATCTGTCCCTAGAATAGACAGCAACATTTAGATTTTGTAAAAAAAGGGGACATTTTCACTTCAGCATCAATGAGGATCCCTCAATAACTGCAAAGATTAGGGCTGATACATTCCTTTTTATAGGAATTTAATTTTAAATTTTGCAGTTTGGGGAGCAGCAGTTTGAAACTTTGTGTATGTTTTTAGAGGCAGGTTTCCAGGCTGATGAATTTCCCATTAATTTGAAAAGAATTTTGTGAGGGAGAAAAAGAAAATATAATGACATACACACTTCAGACACATAGGGCAAAAGTTCTTATTCCTTAACAAATCTTTGAACAGTTATCGTCCTCTCTTCTCTGGACAGAGCAATGCCTTTTGGCAGCAAGCTACTTTGTAAACGTGAGATAGTAAATGATGGTGAATTTTAAAAAAATTTAAAAAGCATGCAGGTCTGTACCACACAGTTCAAAAATAAAAGCCAAAGGGAACTTCCTTTAGTAAATAACAGCAAGGTTTTTCAGAAATGTATGAAGGTGAAGAGGTGGCCTTTGGTTTGGAAGCTGACCTTCCTCACATAATGCCAGAATGAGACGTGTTTCATAGAAGTGGGATTAGGAAACCAGCAGCAGTGTAGTTAGCTACTTTGGTTTGGTTCTTACAAATGCACTCCTGTTCCTCACCTCACCTGTGAGAATGAAAACCATTTTGTAACCTATTTAGCTTCATACAACAATATGAATATACTGTCGAAATATTGCACAATATTTTAAAAAATACACCAGACCACATCAACAAAAAAGTAACAACATTAAAATCTAGTGTGAGAGAGAGCAAGGGTCAGTGCCATACTCATTTCTAAGTATTCATCAAAGAGTCCATAAGCATTCATAGGTTGCAGATTGTAGTCCTTTTCCCACTGTGGGAAGCTTGTTTTCCTCTGTGTGCCATACTCTTGTCGTAGTTTTCTCCTGGTCCACCAGTTTTGAATCAGCCTACATATTCAAATAAATTAAAAAAACAAGATAAGTAATATTAGTGGCTATTTATCACAATATTGGAAGAGGCTAAATTAATTTCCTAAGTAATTGCAAAATTAATTTCCTAATGCACAGGAAAAGAGAGTGTTAGTCATACATGGGGCTGATGACACCACATAGTAGGTATGAAAACAGATATGGCTGATGGGCTGTAATCCAGGGCTAGATAGAGTTAAAATGGTGGAGGAATTTTGACATATTTTAATTATTTATTTACTTTCTTTTTCTCTATATAGAACGGCAAATCATTTCAGTGTGTGTTTGTATGGCAGGATGCAATGTGGTGTGGAGACAGTTGAGCTCTAACTGAGAAATCAGTAAACAAAATGCTAATACTGCTTGATATCCATCTTCAGAAATAGAGAATGAAGATGAAGCTTTAGATGAAGCTTTGAGTAGCTTGATCTAGTTGGAGATGTCCCCGCTTATGGCGGAGTGTGTTGGATTAGATGACCTTTGGAGGTCCTTTCCAGTCCAGACATTCTATGATTCTATGAGAAACTGTACCAGACTTCACAAAGAAGATACTGTTCCTGAAGAAATGCATGTGTAGGGACACTGTGGGAGGCACTGAGCCAGAAGAGAAATGAGTGCTCACATCTGAAATAAATACCTTTGCCTCTCCAGGTGAGGGAGTTGCACTGGTATGAGCAACAAAGGACATGAGTTATAGTTAGTAAGTATAGAAAAAAGACCCCACCAAAAAAGATTTTCTTCAAAGTTGTGGTTGGCCCCTTTGTCTCAGCAAAACAGAAGGTGATGGCTCACCCAAATAATTGAGTCCTTTCCCTAACTATGCTTTACTTCGTGACTTCACAGTGGCCTAATCTGGTCTGTGAATAATAGGCAAATGGCCATTGAACTTGGGTAAGGGTTTGGCCAACTGCTTGTTTTCTTAAAGCTTAGAGATCAATTTTCCATTATCAGAGAGGTTGTAGCTTTTCCTGTCTCCATTTAAGAAATGGATATGCAACTGATTTCAGGGCATTAATATCTAGAGTCTAGAACTGAAAGGAAAAAAAACATGTAGAAGTACAAGCCTGTGGACTTCAAGCCAAAATTTGGAAGCACAAGAAATTAGTAAAATATTTGGGTTTAGCAGCTTGCAGACAGTCACTAGTGTATAAAAAGCCTAGAAAGGCCTTTCCTGTGAATGAGCATGGTCGTGACTGATGAACTGTGGGACGGTTAATGGCACATCTTTGCAGTCCACAGCACATTTTGGGACTTTACCTCTTGTGTCCTGCCTGTGAGAAGTGTCCTGTAAAGGCAGCAAATTTAGGGATCAGATGGGTGGGAGACCAATATGGTGAGACAGATCCCAGTTAACTTCCTCCCTTGTGAGAAGGGAAACACATAACCATAAATATCTAAGATTCCTAGTAAAATTCAAAGACGTGTCATTTTTCTGCTTTATGCGTGAGCAAAATGCAAGCAATGTGATGTAAAGTGGTTTTAGTACGGATGTATGTTCTCCTTTCAAGGAAAACCTCAACCTAAGATTGCAGTTTTACACCTCCAAATGAAGCAATAATTCATACTTTGTTTCTTAGTTATTGCACATGTATCTATGCAGGAGAGGAGAACCACTGCACACTTTCAGAGGTCACAAGGTGGTGTTGGCATGAAGCAGAAGCACCACTCTAACATACCTGTATTTGTATTAAAAACGTAACCACTAAACAATCAGTGCTCTAGCTCACATACTAGGTCCTCTCCTCTTTGAAACCTAGTTGTTCTACCTCTCAGGCAGAAATTCAGAAGAGTTTCCAATGCCACATGTACCAGTGAGAAATATGACAGCAGGCGCTGTCACCAGTTCCTGTCACCAAGAAACAGCTGGTGGCATTTCTGACTTGCCCTGCATTTCTCTGCAGTCCCTGTGAGAGCACATGCCTGCACAAGAGCTGGGATGCCACCCTGAAATGGTGCAAGAAACCCACTTCAAAAAAGGCTGCTGGTGCTCCTCTTTTAGGGTTGTCTTATGGTGGGATGTTTTTTGCTACCAGCTTTGGCACTGCACAGTGCTGTCTCTGTCTGACTGGTAGTAGCCAGCACATGGGTAGAGGTGTGATGATGTTCTGCTACAGACTACAGGATTGCCTCTAAATCTTCTGGCCATCTGCATGGCGTTGGCTCTGATCATGCTCTTAGCAGAAATTATCTTTTTTTTTTTTTTTTTTTTTTCCCCACCCATACAAGAAGGAAATGCACTTGCCTGCGGCTTTTCAGGGCTAGAAGGTGGAATGAAAGGTTTGGAGAACAAATACATCTCTCATCAGAATAAGGTGAAGCATCTCACATTGTTGTGACTGTGTGTTTTTTTGTGGTGATTTTCATTGTGACTCTAAAATGAAGAGACTGACTTTACCTGATGCAGTTTATTCCTATTAAATCACTTGTTCTTAAGCAATCTCCTCTTATCTCCTTCAGTCACTTTCCTTAATCCCCTTCTGTGCTCTTTATTAGGCTTTAAAATCCCTATTAATAAGCAGCAGAAAGTTCTAATGAAAGCTGACAAAAGAGGGAGGGAGTGGAAAGAGAAGGATCAATACTGCTGCTGTTCCTCCTTCCCACCCTGGCTAATTCCTTCAGCCTTAGCAGCTGCAAAATCCTGGCAAGCAGCACAAGGCACAAACCTGGGAAAGCAGAGATCGTAAGCCTTGAGCACCTTGATTTCCAATTACTCTGTGCATTTAAATAATTTACTCCATTCTCATTACAGCTAGATGTGATCAGCACCGAGGCTGCCTGAAATCACTTCTGCAACACGTGTCTGCAGATCAGGGACTGAACTCTGCACTAGCTCTGCTGAGGATCCTGCAGGGAAGCCAGTCCCTCTGAGCTTTGCAGGGGCATACCTTCTGATAATGTCAGTTCTCCCTTATGTTTTCATACTTGCTGATTTTCCTTGGCGACCTGCCATGATGTCTCTAGCATCAACTGTCTATATTAGTCACGTTAAACATGGTCATTAAATACTAATCAATACAACATGAACCAATAGGAAATGAATAATCATCAACCGTTTTAGTTCCATAATACCCTGCAGATCACAAGGAAATGTCTATATACCAGACAGTACTTTTTTTCTATCTCTGAGCATGTATAAGCCAGCAGTGCATTTTTTTTCCAGCTCATACCTGCTCTTTCAGGCATATTTTATCACCCAGCAGAAATCCAATTTAGAACTTACTGACATAGTTAAAAAGTGACACATAGAACGTTTCCTATGCAAGGAATACAGTCCTACAATCATTTTTAAGGAGTTTTAAAACATGGAAATTGATTTAACGAAATCAAGTACTTCCTACATCTTGCTTATTTGTTAATATTTATATTACATTTCAATTTTGCAAACTATGTCCAATGTGGAAAAAACCCTCAAACACCATCTATGTCTGTAAGTCTGGAGATCTGTCTTAAGAGCTCTGTGTCCTGGGGGGATTTTGTGCTGTAATGGCTAAGATATGTTGCTTTTATGTAACTGGTCATAAGGAAAGTATAAACTTAATGTTATTCTGTGACCTAAAAAAGCACAGGCATCTTATTTACTTACGGGTAGCCTAGTTCCATGAAATTATTCCAGGTCTGCTTTAACACCATTATAATACCCATTTGCATACAGAGATCAATAAGGCATCCACTTGGGTGGCACTACGGAAAAGAAGAAACAAAAGGTTAAACAGAAATAATGCTGAGTTTTAAAGCATTTTATAAAGACTAGAAATGAAAATAAGATAATTTACTTAAAGGAAATTAAATGTCATTCTCTTTTTTTTGTAATATAAACTCATGGGAACACGAGTATATCATACCATCAGCTTTTTAAGCCTGTCATCTAGTTCTTTACAGATGTCACAATCAGCTGCAACCAATGCAGTTTTCAGCTTAGTGCTTCTAATACATTGTGCAGCTGTGGGTGGGACAGAGGCAAAGTCTACCAAATTTCTCCAATGATTTCAGTAGTTTTTGAGGAGGTTGACTGGGCATCAAGTCAAAGGATGAAGAAAAGATTTGTCCTGGCTACACAGGCAAACAGTTTATACCTAGATAATACACCTAATAATGTTTATTGAGTATTATTTAATGTGTGTGACTGAGTGGACTATGCAAACCTGTTCTCTTCTTGAAGAACTAAAAAACTCTGTCAAACAACAGTTCTTAGCGTCTCTTGCTGAGTGCTTGGTTGCTTTAACAGTGGCTCCAGACCTTGAAGAAGTGGTGCTCCTTTTGGGAGAGATGTTCAGCTAGTACCAGTTAAGGTAATTCCACAATTTTTCATGTAGAATTGGAAGAAACAGAAAAGAACCAAAAACTCTTCCTTCAAGCAGCATTTTGCACAATTGACTTTGTGGCTCTAAACAGTGGAGTCCAAGCTGTGTTTTTAAATCCTGAGTATTATGGATAAGTCAAACAGATCACTGTCAGAACTGGAACTATTTTTCTTTCACTTTTAGGGAGAAAAATTAGTTCTGACCTATAAGAAAATGTGATATGAATTTCTTATACATACCATATTATACAGTGCTCAGAAACTGTGTCCCTGCTGAGGGTTCTGTTGATCTTATATTCAGCTTCTCTTTAGATTAACAGGGTGGCAGATGATAATTACTTCTTTTTTTAAATTAACTTTTCTGCATAATTATTAAACCATCATCCTCCTGTTTTTAGCAATCAGTCACACATGCCAATAGACCTAGGTTCAGTATTAATGAAGCAGCAGTGATGCTACAACCATAATATCACTAATATATAAATTCTGGTCTGAATATGCCCATGGATGCTGGACTAGACTATACTGTGTTATTAAATGTCTTAGACTTGGCTTCATCCAACAGGTGAAGAGAGGGCTGTTGGAAGGATATCTGTGCATTAGATTCTAAATTATGTTCCTAATAAGGCCTAGCACAGATATGGTCAATAGAGTTGAGACTTTTTTAATGAAGCATTTCGTTTATTAGGCTTTTTTTTTTTTTCATTCTGAGAAAAGCAAAATAGTAGAGACTACTAATAATATCTTCCACCAGCAACTGACCGAATCTGAACACTTCACTGTTGCACTTCCCTCCCAAACCTGGTTCTTTCTTTCTCCCATTTTTGCTCCTGCAGAGAGGTGAGACTCTTCCTTTGTTCTCTGATCCCTCTGTGAGAAGATTCAGCCCAGTAACTCATCAGAAAACTAATTCAGACAGAAAAAGGAAGTTTTCTGCGTGTACAGGCTGAACTGGTTAGGCTCCTCACAGGGCTGGACAAGCCAACACATTGTGGAAGAGGAAGGAGCAAATTTCTGAGGGAGGGCTCAAAGGAAGAGCAGAACTGTCTTCTTTTGGCAGTAGCAAGCTGTTTGGTCAGCTCAGGCCCTTGCAGACTTCGGAGGGATGTTCGGAGGGATGTTCAGTGAATTTATGTCGACTCATTTATCAAGTGTTCTTTCCCTGAATGTTCAGGATTCACTACTTTAAAATTAGGATGTTTCTTTTAAATGATTATCTTGGTTTTTTTTTTTTTTTTTTTTTTGCTAGTATTTTGATGACCTCTATTGACCAAAATATCTACATATCTGCAAGCATTTGTAAATTCATGTTGGCAGTGCAAGACTTGTATTTTCCACTTTTCCTTTTGTCATGTATTTTTGAAGTTGTTTCAGTTATTCACCTGTGAAGCGGGAAATAAACCAGGGCTTTAAGTGTGCACTGGAAACTACATGACTGGTCCAGAAAACTGCTGCTGTTCACCTCCAATAAATGTAAAATGGTTTTTTAATTCTGAATGTATTTGCCAAAAAAATTATATTGATCCTTGATTGACTTGCAAAGCAGCCTCTCATTGGTCTCTGAATCCATTTGGTTTTATAGACACGGAACATTATGCCAGTATATCTTTTGGGAAGTTTGTTCAGTTTTTTGGTCAACTTTCAAGTGCGTTCTATATGTATGAATGTTAAAGTTATTATTTTATCTACCTGGTCAGCAAGGCTAGAAAAAGTTAGGAGACTTTTTGGAAGCAAAAAGTTGTCAGATTCATGTCTGCTTTTCAAGGATGAGATACTTCCAGTGTAAAAATGTAATGTTTAAACCATTTGATACTAGTATCCAAATGTGATACAAACACCAAATCTTCTAGCATTGAAAAGGTCGTGTATATCAAAATGTATATGTTTTTAAAGCAGATAGTAGTGTCAGTAATGTGGAGTTAGACAACAATTGAAAATCCAATAACACACTCAAAAATGCCCAGACAGAATTACATGTCTGCCTCTCCTTGCATTCAGTGCATCTCTGGGCAGAAGGTAAATTGATGTGTAGTTGGTGAGCACTCACCTCTTCCAGTCTCCACCGGTTTATCAGCCTTAAGTAGGCACCAGGGTGTCCTGTAAATCTTTAACACAGAAATATACATCAACTATATTGTGCAAACATTCTGTTCACAGTAGTGGAAGAAAAATCTCGCTGTTGTTTTAATCTTAATATAATCTTAGCATGACTGCTATAACTGATGAAAGATGTTATGCTGCACAATGTTTTGGGGGATTCCTGGAAAAATTTCCATGAAGTACTAAGTACATTTTTACTTCCACCTTTATTTCAATACCAATACTCTGCTCTTGGATATTCAGCATATTCAGAGAAGAGAGAAAATCTGAATACTGTTGTTCATATCTGTTTGGAAAATGGCTTTCAACTGCCAGTCAATTTCCTTACACCATAATGTGGGCTATGAAATCTGCCTTTCTAAGAAACCAGTGAAAATGTTAGTTTTCACTAGAAAAAGACGATTTTCTTACTATTCTTCCATGCATTCTGCAAAAATGATTCCCACAACTTCACACATGAAAATAATCCACACTGATAGATTCTTCTACTCTAGCCTTCTCTATTCAAAGGCTCTTCTTTTGCTTTTAGGGGACTTGCAGAAAGATACTTGCATATATACATATATAAAAATTTCTGTGGAAGAAACTCCAACTGATAGCTCACAATCCACTCTTAACAGTCTTAATCATATCACAGAAGCAGCAAAATATTCAGGTAGTTGGACTGGATGATCACTGTAGGTCCTTCTATCCTATCCTATCCTATCCTATCCTATCCTATCCTATCCTATCCTATCCTATCCTATCCTATCCTATCCTACCTTTTCCTGTTTATTCTGAAAGAAAAAGACACAGCAGTAAGTTATTTACTAACCTGTACAAATTACACACATAAAGAGAGAGTGAACTGACCTGCATGTATAATATTTTGAGATGCATCTGTTTCCACTAATGAAATTGTTAAAAATTAGCACTGAGCCAATGTGGTGATAGGAAATGAAAACTACATTTGTTTCTGAGTTTTAGAAAGAAAAACAAACAAACAAACAAACAACAATCTGCAGCCTGTCCTGCTTGGCTAGTATGGAATTTGCATTTTGAGACATATGATAATATGGTCCTATTTTTTTTCATTACAAACAAATTTATTTCTTCTCCCTACCTCATTTTGCACATATGAGGATGAAGAAATCAATCCTACCTTCCAAGGAAGAATGCTATATAAAAGGTAGAGCTGTTCAGATTGACAAACTGGAAAAGAAACATTTTCAGAGTGAAACTGTTCTCCCACTCAGATTCAGTACGAGGCTGCTCTGTGAAGGAAGAGAACAGAGTTTCAGAGGTTTAATCAGATTAACAATTTCCATGGGCACAAAGGCTGCACATAGCTATCAGAGCTGGCAAGGTATTTGTAAACTAGCCTGATGATTTCAAAATATAAACTGATAGAAGAAATTGTGTCCAAAAGGAGCAGACAGCAAGTGAGCTCGTAAAGATTTAGAAAACTGTTCTGATATCTGGATAAGTATTCTCCCACGAGACTGTAAACAAGAGATTTAATGTGCACATTAAACATCTCTCCTGGATTCCTCTGTGCTTTACAGGTTCAGGCTCTTCTCATTTCCCTTTCTGCAACCTACCATAATGACATTGCCAGAAAGCACCCCACTACAAGCTATATAAGTGCATTTTTGTTAGCGATGTTACACTGAAGTGGAGCAAAACCTCCTAGTAAAATTCTATGGATTTGCCTACCATGCTGGCACCTAAGGACCCTACACAGGTATCAGTGGAGTGTCACTGCATGACTCTTTTTCCTTGTTCCAGGGAACTCATCAGCGATGACTGAGAAAAAGTATTTTACAGCGAATGGTGTAAGGGAAATGAGAAAGGGGAAGACATATTCTTCCCTTCAAGTAGGCCCTTAATTTCCATCCAAAGAAACATCGAGACAGTAGTTAACAAAACAATTTCCATACCAACACACCAATACTATGTCCTGGAACTACTTTCCTGTTGGCAAGAGCTTGTTATTTGTCAACCATTGCTGTGAACAGGATTAATCAGAAGAGAACTGAAGGTACTAAAGGTGATTCTAGGTATCACACTGGTAGTGCTCATACACTACTTCCAAAGGAGTCTTCAGTAAAGTATTGGAAGTACAGAAACAACAATAAATTAGATTCTATTTAATTAGGGCTGCCCTACCCATGAAGAAATTTCAAAAAGATGTGTCAACAAAATCATAAAACAGTCCATAAATTAACAGCTGTGTTATAGTGAATTGGAAATGCCTGTCTAGAAACCCAGGTTTGTGTGTATGCCAGTACTTACATATTTAGATAAGCAGAATGAAATAAAATGTCATGGATTTTTGATGTCAGTCTGTGGAAAGGACAAGTTTGACTTTCACAAGGCTGCTACAGCTGAAGCTTTGTGAAAGTCATACGCCTGTCAGAGACAATGGCAGTGCTCTGGAGGACCACGGATGTGAGCTTTGAAAAGGTCATATAAAAGCTGGAGAAGGACATCCTGAATGTAGCTTTGCTGCCAATCCCACTCTTAGCTGATTATCACACCGACAAAGATAATTCAAACCAAATCAGGTACTTAGGCTATCAGAGTGAGAACCACAAAACAATCTGAACATGATTAGAATAGTTTTACCCACTGAGTTTTCATACAAGAAAAAAAAAAAAAAAAAGCTTGCACAGGCTACAAGACGCAGACCTACCTTGATGATAACCTGGCAGAAAATAATTGATCTTCAAGGTCTCTATACCGTGTCTTATGGTCCCCAGGGTGTCACAAGGATTAAAAGGGCATAGCCTGTGCAAATTACATACTTGAAAGTCGTATTTCTCAACTGTAACTAGTAGGTACCTTTTCTATAGATTCAGGATGGCAAAAATATTTGAAATTTGTCATACAAGTAATAACTCTCAGTTAAATGAGAGCCAACAGAATAAAATGCTAACTTACACATATGTGCCTTGAACACATCACCTATAACTTCTCACATGTAGAAAGGCCCTGACATTAGCTAAAATCAGCTGTGTGTTTCCTCTGAGTAGACACCAAAATGTGTCCACCTGGTCCTATATACTATACACAGGTATCCAGAAGCTCAAAGTAATCTCCTCAAACCACTTCCACATGCCATAATATGGTTCACTTATTAGGCCTTCATCAAGAGTTTCACTTCAGGCTTCATGACGTTAAAGAGCCCTTGCCAATTGCCACCAACTACTGCAAACTTCCAGCATGATTAGGATCTCCATAGTCTTTGCCTGGGCTATGGATATATGAGTGACAGCCTATTGCTACCACACTGACACTACATGCTGCCCTTAGAAAACATTGTCCTTAATCTAGCATAAAGATATGGGTGAGCTGAAATTGCTGAAACCTAGAACACTATTAGAATTTAGGTGTTGGTAGAGTTGATGAGTCACATAGTTATTTTACCTCCAAATTACTGCTCTTAAAAGCATGTTTGACAGTCAATAAGGACCTTGGTTTCAAGCTATAAATTTGTCTTTCAGAAATGATTCCCCCATTCCCAAGTCTTCATGAAACCTGTGGGTTGCAAGTTCTCAGCCCCTCTGAAAACTCACACTTTTTTCCCCAAGATAATTTGTTTAAGTTCTTACAAGGTAGGGGGTTGTAACAAGAACCAAGCAGGGTAGATGGGTGATTGTTCCCACCACTGATTGAATGGCACTATAATTTAGTTTCTGTACTCCTTTATTCTAAACATATGAAAGACAGTAATTCCTATAGATCGCAAAATAATCAGGGTTTTTCATATTTATACAGTCAGTTTGAACGTTATCACACTATAGGGACAAAACATCGTTATAATTCTATTTTGTATTTAACATTGCTTACCTAAATTTGTCAGGAAAAGAGCAACCTTTTCATACAGCTGTAACAGAGAAGAAACAGCCTTTTAGATGTGTGACCAGCTCAAAATTGTAGAACTTTGTAGGTAAAGTGCTCTTATATGTCAAATCTGACATCCAGATGGTGTCTGTGATGTTCTGATGATGATAATAAATCTATATAGTAATAATACAATAACAATACAACCAAAAAAGGAACAGTAATATTTTTAAAGCTTATAGTCAGCTCTTTTCATCCACAATACATGGAGACAAAAAATCTGTCACTGTCCCTATTTTACATACACAGTGAAAAAGGGTGAGATAACTTGTCCAAAAATACAAGGCAGAAGTATAGCACAGTTGGGATCTTTGTTTTAGTTACTTATGGAACATTTATGTCACAAAAAAAATCCCCACCCTAGTAAGAACATCCTGTGGTATATTGGGTATTTTGGGCTTTTGGGGTTTGTTTGGAATTTATTTGGTGCTGAAAGGAAAGACACTGGGGAGATTGAATTGCTTCAGAAAAAGTCTTTATGGGTGCCCACCATCAGATACATTTCTTACTCTGAGTCTATAACATTGCTCTAAATCATAAGTAGTATTTTCTGTGCTTAGCAGATACCATTCTCAAACTCTGCAGAAGACTGCTAACTTCATAAAGCTTACAAAAACTAACTTAGAGGGTTTTCACAATTAGGATTTGCAAAAGAGCATTGAGTTGATAAAGTACATCACCACCAACGATCGTATTAGTGTAAATTAATATACGATTTCCACTTGCTTTATATGAGTCTGGAGTCTGTTCCCACAAAACACTAAATGCCATTAAGTCTCACTGATGCCTACAGGGATACACAGCTCCTGATATTGCAGGTTCAAGGAGTCACCTCTTTTACAGTTAACCTTACAAATTTTTTCTTAAATATAATTGTGCACAATTTACAGATCAAACTGCCTGTTTAAGAACTGAAGGCTTCCTGAATTCTCTCATCCATTTCAACAATCGCTTCCTGCTTAGAACAGCTTTTTGCTGCCTTTGGAGTAAACAGTTTCATTTCAAGTAGTGAAAAAGGTGGTTTCTTCTGGATTTAAAAGCATCTCATAAGGGCAACTGTAAAACTACTGAATGTCTGGGTAGTTTATATCCTGATCCCAACAGGGATTGTGCTATTTTACACATGTACATTGCTTCACAGAAACAAGTATCAATACTGTATTTTGTTGCTATTCCTCCTGGAACAGTAAGATGGTATTAGAGAGTCTGTTAACAATGTTTGGAACTAATTACCTGCTACTGCACTACTAGTCCCAGGAGGCCTTGTTTAGGACCATCTTTTCTGGGTTCATATTTCCTATAGGCAGTATTACTGGAATTAGCCAGTTTTATTAACCTAGGTAAAATCAACGATTGTTCACAGGTCAGGCTGCAAGAGTACTTGGGAGACATGCTTGAAAGTAATTTTGTTTTGTCATGATGGAAGAGTTAGTGTAGCTCTCAGAGTATACAAGCTACAAGTCATTCATGGTCTAGATCTTTCCCCTCGATGCTTAGGGAGGTTGTCAACTCATATCAGAATCCTCGGTTGATTTCCAGGCTTCCTAGCAGTGAATTCCCTACTGTTATATGCATTTTGGTTCATTCTGGTTTTATTATTGTATCTTTGTTTGCTCTCTCGCCACTTTTCTTGAGTCACAGTTTGTTGAGGATTCAACTATTTGAATGGCTACTGGGGAAAGAAACCCCACTACTGTCCTTCATTAAACTACATTAATTCATCATAGGAAGCGAGGGATTATGTTCTTAAGTCTTTTTTTCTCCATGCTTATTCTGTGCTCTGGGTGGCTGACAGAAAAAAACAAAACAAAACAAAAGCTGCAGACAACAAACAATAAAACAAAAATATCATAGAAAAAGAAAGCCCTCAGTACAAATTCAGAGTTAATAAAAGCATCCACCTCTTCTTTCTGGCCTTTCTCAGCATATTGTCCTACTTTGGGAAAGTATAGGAAAGTCAACAGTTCTTGATAGACTGTCCTATTTACCAGTCTAGTCTTGCTTATACCAAAGGCAGAAGTGAAGTCCTGCAGCAAAGCCTCCTGGAATTTCATGATATATAAATGAGGGGTTGTTAAAATAACTTTTTAGATTATGTCCGTGTTTAGGTATCTCACAGAAAAGAAAGTATCCTTAAAGTCAGCACTTGGAAATGTGCAGGCCTGAAACAATATCTCATATTTCCCCTAGGAATTAAGTCAGCACATCTCCTAACAAAAAGCCTAATTTTTTTTTCAGCAAACACTTGCTACTGAAAGGAAAAGGAGAGCAGTGGGTAAAACAGGAGTATGGACATCTCCCTAAAATGTTTCCTTTAGAACATTCAAACACGCTTTACATAATATTTTGGGATTGGAATTGTATTTTATATAAATTACTTCCATAAACAATAATACCATGTCTGGTTTAGCAAGAGACTCCATTCCTGC